TGTTGAAAAAGTTTGTTCTACATGTCTAGTCTATGTGTTCTCTGGTCAGTGCTTTTATCTATAAAAAACATTCTAGTCTTTAGCTTATATTTATATCAGACGGACAGACAGAGTCTTATGGGGTCTGCAATGCCTAATTTGACCTGCTGCATTTAACAAAACCTCTATATACAGGAATGATCTCTAAAACTAGAAAAATGGTTTTGTTTCCCCCTGTTTAATAATGAGGACTCACTAATTTGTTGCACGAACTTGTGTTCGTCACTGATCTTACAAACTTTTTGTTCGCCGACTGTGTAGAAATGTTTCTATTTTACGAACATTATTTCTAGAAATATTTCGGACAGTCAAKACATGCCAAAATGAACCGAAACTTCGACTGTGGATACCCTGCTTAACTTTAAAAATTATACTACTTTGGTTGGTAATTAAAAGAAATTATTTGACATTGTAAAAAAAGGACGCATATTTAGTTTCTTTTTAAATCGTAAATTTGAAATGTTAAACTGACAAAAAGATTGCAGGCATACGTATACGTTGCATTGGCCGTGCAAAGCAGCTTTTGTCATTGTACTTTTAGTATTTTTTGTATTGTAGCGATTATGACATATATTTTTACTTTTGTGTACGTCGATAATTGATCAGAAGTATCGACGAATGTAAATAAACATAATGGAATTTTTCCATTAGGCTGATAATTGAAATCCGTCAATCCAATATGTTGTATATTGAATTTATTTTAATTTGCGAGCGATTATTGGTTTAATATAGTAAATTGTTCCTGACAGCAACAAAAGCTGCTCATATAAGTCTAAAAATACAAAAATGGCGCTCGAACTAAAACAACTATGGCGCTTAACTTAAATCAAATTGGAAGTGTGGAAAAATGCTTTGGATCCGTTTTTTTTTTGGATACGAATTAAGGATATTCTATACGAGTGTCGTGACTTACTGATACGCCAAAACTGATAACTGATAACTGACAACAATCATTTAGGCGTTAATGAAAGTACCGAAGCCGAAATCTCATGACCGTGACGGCCACACATTTTAATAACCAGTTGGAAAGAGCGAGGTCTGATGCACGTGCTTTCTTGGATATCAAAAGTGAGTCTGTCAGAGAGACGCGGCCAACATATGTAGCTTGGCCGGTATCGCTTATGCCCAGTGCGAAAAGGAAAAAAGGGAGCGAAAACGGGGTGAGCAGAACAAAGCGACGATTTAATATGCCGGTAATCAGCGTTATAGCTCGCAGGCATACAAAGGTATGTTTCTTATCACTTCGAGCAAAAAATCTTTTAAAACCTGGGTAGCAGTATATGAGGGTTTTAGCCTACTGAGACTTGATGACTAAATAAACAAACAGAAATTATAACAAATAACAAAAGAGTGAGCGAGCCAGACAGAGAAGGTGAGACGCTTATTAAATATTGGGGTCTGAAAAAAAGTTTCGCTTGCATACAGTAATATGTATATTCATGCATACGTACATACATATGTAGATATACAAACGTTTTTGCCCTTGCTTGCCACTAAATTAATTCAAGCCTATTAGTTTGAAAAAAAACATGTATTCTATTAACATGTTTGGTTTTTGAATATTTGAGGGAATGCGGCGAATGTGTATATGTATACTTTTGCACATACATACATTCCGACAAACATATGTACATATATAATGACATGCGTATAAATATACTTTGGGCATACTAATTACATTTACGAGCCCAAACAACCATTAATTCAAACAGCACTGGCGCAACGGCGCAATGTTTAACACACTATATTATAAATCCTACTAAAGATAACACATACCAATGCATTTCATGCTGCTCGAATTAATAGTGGTTTGGGCTCGTATTTATTTATTTATTTATTTATTTCTTAAAGATATTGACAAAATCGTTAGTCAACATAAAATTAAAAGTCCTAAACAAAGTACAGAAAATAATTACAATAGTATAACCAACCCGATGGGGGTATTTTATCTGCCAGTCCGGCCAGCTATGCCCACTTTTCACACCCAAATATGGTCAGTGATACTACTGAGACTACGAACAGAAAGTGTTAAAAAAAAACTTAAAATAAATATTAAATATAGAAATATAAGGTATAGATAATATTATAATTAAAATAATTCTTAAGATTAAAAAAAAATAAAAACAA